TTCGATACCGTTTTAACTGACGAACAATAAGTTCTCGTTTACTGACCATATAACACGACCTGACATTCCATGATCCAAAAAGTGTTACCCTGGTTGTAGTAACAAGTTTGGTTTGTTCATTTTCGTTAGTCAGATATGGTTTAACGTCCTACACTCGGGTGACTAGCCCAAAAATAAGACATAGTGGCTCCTGGACCCCAGGGGACGCCCGCTCAGCACCGCAAGCAGCACTAGGCCCCCTGGGAGTACGTAAATACTCCCCAGTAGGGTCCATAGTTGAGAGATTACGTAACAAATCAAATTAGAGATTCGGAAAAAAGATAACATAAGATAAACGTTTAGCGTCAGTAATAGAGCCCATCGGGTCCAGAATTTTTGGACCCGGACCCGGACCCGGACCCTGGCCCAGGATTTTGGACCCGGACCCGGACCCGATCATTTAAAATTTTTCTACCCGGATCCGGACCCGGACCCGTTTACAGATTGCTGGACCCGGACCCGGACCCGGTCGCTTAAGTTTTTTGGATCCAAACACAATGACAAGTCAGTTTAGATAGTATAGTCAAGAAGGATTTTGTTGTTTTTTATCTATTTTCTAAATACATTTGATCTCTTCTTTGTATAAAACGAACAAAACTTTAAAAAAATTCAAAATAAATTGTATGGATCAAAGTTTTCTTCAGACCTGGATCCGGTTAAAGCAAAATTTTCAGACCCGGACCCGGACCCGTACCCGGTCAAAATAAAATTTTTGGACCCGGACCCGGACCCGGACCCGGCCAAAGTAAAATTTTTGGACCCGGACCCGGACCCGTGCGGGTCCGGGTAGGGTCCGGGTCCGGGTCCGGGTCCTACCCGACGGGCTCTAGTCAGTAAGCACCATCTACTGTCACTAACAAGTATCACTAAAAACTCTTTGAAAAGTCAATAATGGTACTTCTAAGTAGAACTTGAAATGTTATCAAGAGTGTCTTCAAATAATCCTTGAGAGTTCACCACGAGTATCCATCAGTAATCCTTGAAAAGTTACCAATGACATCTCTTCGTGATTCTTAAAAAGTTACTTAGAGTACCTGTAGCTAGCTCTTGAGAAGTTTACGAGTATTCCTAGATAGCCTTTGAGAGTCTACCAAGAGTAGCTTTAGGTAGTCCTTGAAAAGTTACCAAAACTAACCTCAGACAGCTCTTAAAAAGTGACGAAAAGTACCCCAAAATAGCTCATGAAAGATTACCTAGAGCGAGTTACCGAGAGTCCTTTTAGATAGCTCTTAAAAAGTTAAAGGAGTATGTCAACATAGCAATCTAGAACCGACACTAAGTATACGTATTAGCATTAAACATAATTCTAAATTAATGCCACATCTGTGCATCATTTAACACTAATGCCATTAATGCCAAAGCATTAGCATTAATGATTAATGCTAATGCAAAAGTATCAGCATTAGCATTAATGATTAATGCTAATGCAAAAGTATCAGCATTAGCATTAATGATTAATGCTAATGCAAAAGTATCAGTATTAGCATTAATGATTAATACTAATGTGACACCCCTATCCTGTACACATGTATAAATAGGAACAAGACTGAGAGAAAAATAATTAGAACAGCGTTCGAGAAACGGTAAGGATCTCTTTCAGGAAACCTTATTTTGAAATTTTTTTGCTAGACACTTAGTCACACATTCTACCCATGTTTTGATGGTACACTCACTTTTTCACACTCTTTCCAATGATGTTATTTTCAGCAAGTAATCATGAGACTCATTATCGGATTTAGTTGATGTGAGTTGTCAAATAGAATATTCCGATTCATACAAAGCTACGTTACAAATTGCTTGAAAAAGAAAGAGAAAAAGAGAGCACTGTTTTTCTGGGTTACTGGAACTTCGTCAATAAGACTTTCCCCAAGAGGATATTCACCAATGACAAAAGTCCAAGGATATATTGGCGAAAGTTCACTGTACTTTCGTCAACTTGCGAAATTCCAGAGAGAGCATTGGTGAAAGTACAGTGGACATTTGCCAGATATCACAAAACAATCTTAACATAAGATATTTATGAGTCCGATTCCTAATTCAATTGGCGAAATGCCAGAAAAAGTGTTGGCGAAAGTCTTGTTGGCAAAGATTCAAAATCCCGTTTTTCTCTGTTACTCTTTGTATCTAGAAAAGTTCATTCAACTTTTCTTTCTCACTGAACTCCATATTCATACAGTTCTATAGTGTATGTTTTTCTTCTATTGCTCTATTGATAGTTTTGAACTAGAAATTTGTTGATGCATAGAATGGCAACACTGCAGTGGATGATACGGCTTCTGATTACACTTCTTGTATTCTTTCTCGAATTGAACGGGGTACGAGGACTGAAGACTAATAATCCCTTCTATGTCATTGCACACATGGCCAACAGCAATACCGCCGTCAATTGGGCAGTGGCACAAGGTGCGAATGCCATCGAATGTGATATTCATTTTGACAACAGCGGAAAGCCCTTTCTTATCGAGCATGGTCCTGGTTGTGATTGCCGTTGCGCCACAGGGAACAATCACGTTTGCGTTGCTCTTCAAAATCAATGTTCAGGTCCCAGTGCTCGGGAAAATCCTGCGACTTACATGCAAAACATCGCACGCCAGAGTAGTATTGCGCTCTACTTTGTGGACTCCAAAGTTGATGCCAGTATGGGAGAAACTCTAGTTAAAGCAGGAGCAGGTCTCATTCCCTTCATGGACGAAAATCTGTTTGGTTATGGCTACAAGGGGCAGGTTGTTATCTCATCAGCATCATTCAGTACATTTGAGTATGTTAAAGCAGCAGCAATAGCAGCAAAAGCATCACGGAACTCGCAGCATTATTTCTTCACGACAGATCAAGAAGAGAATAACTATGCCGGGGTGATGAATAGAATGTATCCAGTTACGAACAATAGAGTGTATGGTACGGGCGCTGGTTCGTGTGGTACACCGCCGTCTTATTCCGCTGCTATTACAGCTGCTGTCGCTGGTAAGAAGCAAGGTGAAAATGGTATGAATTATATCTATACAGTGGACAAAGAGCAAGCCATGCGAGACTATATCAATCTGGGTGTCGAAGGAATCATGACGAACCGCCCTGCCTTAGCCAAAACAGTTGCTATGTCGATAGGTCTAAGACTGGCACTTCCAAGCGATCGGATTCCAATCTCAAAACCCATTGATAGTGAGTATGATGATGTGAATGAAAGAGTTCAATGAACAAAGAGTTCTGTTTTTTCTGCTTGAGAAAATTCTTATACTATATGAATACAAAATTTTTGAAGTTCCATACAGCAATAAGAGTTAGACTATTTAAGTTATTATCACTACTGGCCTGAAAAATTTGAATTCGAATAGATGTTTAGATATGCAGCTATTTTGATAATTGGAGAAAAAATAAAATAGTTTAATGGTAGACTACTCAACCGATTATCAAAAGATGCAGTTGGATTCCTATTCTGATTTTATGTTCTTTCTTGGAAAGGATTTCATCCTGCTTGAGACATTCATATTCATGTGGATGCTTTTATTTTAAATCACTTGTATTTTCGTAGATGGACGCCACTATTGCTTAATTTTTAACTGTTTAGATGAATTATTATATTCACCTTGCCTTCATATTACTATGGCCTCAAGACATTTTTTCTGATTGTCCTATAATTGTAATACTGATAACTATATATAGAAAAAGAAAAGAAAAGAAAAGAACGAAATAAAAAATAAATTTCTTTTCTATTTCAGTGCACGTTTTATTCAAACTCATCTTTTAAACAGAAAAATGATTAAGTCTGTCCCTTTCTTTTTCCGAAAAGAATACGATCGCTTGAGTTGGTCTATGGATATGTACGGAATATTATTTATTACGATGTCTACTTTTCATAGATTTAAACCTTGTATTCCTATGATTTTTTTCGCAATTTTCAAAAAAAATAAGAACTATACAAAAAGCAACATTTTCTACGTTACTTTTCATATTTGAGTTATTCCATCCGAACTGTGCGTTCAAGAAATAATCAAAATAGATATTCGAAAGGTCACTTCTAACACCTACAAAGTGAATATTTCTCGAAAGAAGCATTCAGAAATTTTACATATGTAACAAATTTTTACTGTGTCAATCGAGGGCTCTTTAGACTGCTAATTTTAGAGTTTTCTCAACTAGTAGTCCTTGAAAAACTACCAGAGAGGAGAGTAAGTCCTTAAACGTATTTTCCAACCTAAGAAAAAACAAAACTGTTTGGCTAGTAAATAAATATTCAAAGTTCTGTTGTCATAATACATAGAAAAATTTGAATTTCTAGAAAATTAAAATCTATCATTATTTCGGTTCCATTGTCTTTCCTAATCCGTTAATAATATCTCCGTGAATTTGCTAAAGATTCTAATTTCAAGAAAATCAGTAATATATCATCAAGCAAATAGCCTTTTTAACGATTCATCTTTAATTAACATTTTTCACCAAAACAGGTTACTATTTTAACTGCTTTTCTTTATAAAAGACAATTTATCGTTGTAATTTTCATTGTAGAAACACGGCATGATGTAGTTCAAACGATTGAGCCAGAATCAGGTTCATGGGGTGAATTTACCGATATGGTTTATTGTGCTGCGGGTACGTGGGCAATAGGTTTTCGGCAACGTGTAGAGCAACCATGTGGTAATGATTGTGATGATACTGCTTTGAATGCATTGGAATTATTGTGTGCAAAGAAAGACGGAACTTCTGTTAACTCAATTACACCACACAATGGTTTGTGGGGCGATTGGAGTAATGTCGTTCGTTGTCCTGGAAACAGTAACTTTTTGAGAGGTGTTTCGTTCAAAATTGAATCGCCTCAAGGATCAGCTGATGATACAGCTGCAAACGACTGTCAATTTTCATGCTCTCAATCATCTAACATTCTTGCATCGAATGGTGGTCCATGGGGTGACTGGAAGCAAATGAAATATTGTCCTTCATCATCAGCTATCTGTGGTTTTTCACTAAAACTAGAAAATTCGCAAGGCGAGGGAGATGACACAGCCCTAAATGGAGCTAAGTTTCAATGTTGTGCTTTATAAACTAGGTTGTGTATAGTATTCGTATCCGTTGGTTTTATTATAATTTTGAAAACATTCAATTAAACAAGGATATAATATATACTTCTCTAACTTTTTTTCTTTCTTCTAATAATTTAATTACTTGTCAAAATCTTAAAGAGAAACAGCATGACCTAAAAGTCATGATAGCGAACATGTTGAGTGTGGGGAAGTCAGTGAGAGTATGGCCATTGGAGTCTTTTTCATTACAACCGTTCCCAAATGTTGGATCGGACAAGATCCTATAGAATTTTCCAAAATTGAATAGAATTCAATGGGTGCAAAGCTTCATTCAGCTAAAAAAAAACAGATAAAAACGACATATCTTATGAACAAAAGTATATTAATGTATTTGGATGCAGTAAATGTATCGACCGAATCCATCGATACTGTCTAATTATACTATGACTTGCCGATTGCATTCTAGCACAGCATTTGTCCGACAACAATGAAATAATTAAGGAAAATCTATTGTTTCGTTTACGGTTTCTAATAGTGTCAAATATTCAGATAATCGAGGATTTATGGGCATATCCTGCAGAAAATGCCTCAATATTAATCGATCAATGCCATTAACTCTCGATTTTCGAACTATGACAGATTGTCACTACTAATTGACATCTAGCGAATTTTATTCAATATCCCATAATAATGAAATCAATTCTGCCGAGAGTATGCTCCATTTCTCTCGAATCACTTAATAGAAGCCAACCAACAATAATTAAAGAAGATTTGAGTTGCTTCGGATAGACAAACAATTATGGGTCTACCTGACAAAAAAAAACATTGATGTGACTTTAAACAATTCAACAACAACATTAGCTACAACTGATCTTTTATTTGTGTGAAAGAATATCAAGAATGCTTTTGGAAGAAAGTAATAACATTCATGTTCGATATCAACAAGACTAATAACTACTTGTGATCTTAAGCAATGTGTTATTGAAACAACTGGTATTTAATTGGAAACAACACAACAAAAAGTGGTTCAAAGTCAGTACAAATATGAATATGATAACAGTAACGTATTGTTGTGCATTGCTATTCAAGCATTTCATCTTGCATAGCATGATGGTATACTTTCAGCACAAAATCCAATATTCTGTGTACATCAATCAGCAGTGCACTCTGAGCAAGATTGGATTGAATGTGTCTGACAAGTAGGACATAATAGTACGAAACAACATTTACATGTATCAATACTTGAGCCAGTCGTGAATATTGTAGTTGTATAAGGAGCGACACTCATGGATGGATGAGTGGATTGTTGTGTCAAGGCGGTGGAAGCACCTCGACACAACCATTCTTCAGGACAATCAGACCGACATTGAGCATACCATATAGAGCGCCGTTGACATGACTATTACGAGCAGATTTATAGCCCTTTCCATCCTTCTCCACCACATTGGGTGTGGGTGTAGGTGTGTGGGTGGGTGTGGGTGTGGGTGTGGGT